TACTTTGGCATTAATCCTCCTGTATCCATAGGTCATAGGTCTGTTAACTAATTTATCTCTAATCGTTTATTACCAGTATTCTCTATTCTTTCAATCAGTTTCCTTTAGTCAATAAACAATTATCAAGCCAAAGACAAGTGAACTGTGTGCCGCAACCCGCGAAAAAATTGTTTTACTGAGGAGTCAGCAAAAAAAATATCGCCAAATTGCCGATTTCTTAGGGTTGAATTTTTCTACAGTGAGATAATTCATAAAATGGTATGAAGAACGTGGTTCAACTGAAAATAGTGAGCGTAAAGGGTGTCCAAAAAAGTTAACTCCTAGGCTGAAGAGGAAAATCAGAAAAGAAGCTCTTAAAAATCCTCTGATAAGTTCTCGGCTGCTGGTTATCATGATCCAATCAACGTCAGGAGTTCAGATTACTAGCAACTTTGAGAGCAATGACCTCGATCAGGCGGGTGAAGTGGAAATGGAAAAGAAGAACACGTACGATAAATGTATCCCTTTCCTAAAAGAGAAATTCCGTGAGACCTTCGGAGAGAGAGAGTTCACCGTGAGAGGCCTCTGGTTTGGGTCTCGAGGAACTATCCCAAAAAGAACAAGGAGCTTCCTCGAGGAACTAGGTGTCGACATTAAGGACGTAGCGAGGTTGGCTGAAAATATAGTCCTCGATTCCCTGGGAATCATTCACCACCACGTGCATGGCTAGCCCGAGAGTTTTAATTTATGTATTTGTTTATTTATTTAGTGAATAATTGAAAACAATAGAGATAAAGAGAGAGAAGTGAGGGAAAGGGAAACTTAATGTTAAATTAAAAAAAAAAGTATGAACAATGAAAAGAAGGAAAAAGGAAAAAAAATAAAAATAAAAATAAATAAAATAATAAATAAATATATATATATATATATATATATATATATATATATATATATATATATATATATATATATATTACTAATATTAACTAATACTTCTGTATATTTATATATAAGTTCATGTACTGTCTTAAGGATAGAAGAGTATGCTGTGTATATAGCTACCCAATATAATTGGGCAGTAATCCTTTATATTTTATATTTTATGAAAATAAAGTGTTTCTCTCTCTGCCCTGAATTCCGAAGGGCTCTATGGTAGAGTTCCAAGAAAGAAGCCATACATCAGTGAAACGAATCGCAAAAAGCGCCTTGCTTTTGCCAGGAAGTACGTACAGAAACCCTAAGCTTTTGGGAAAATGTCATATTTTCTGACGAAAGCTAATTTAATTTGTTTGGTTTAGATGGTCGAAGGACGATATGGCGACATCGTAATGAAACCCTAAAGAAGCAAAATGTTTTAACAACTATAAGGCATGGTGGAGGACATTTTATGGTTTGGGGTTGTGTTTCCTACCATGGCGTGGGAAATCTTGTGAGCATCGAAGGCATTTTAAATGAAGGCTATGTGAACATTTTGCGACGTAATTTGCGTTTTAGTGCCGAAAAAATGGGAATCCAGGATCAGTACTATTTCCAGCAGGGCAACGATCCAAAACATATTGCGAGGAGAACAAAGGAGTGGTTAATATTTAATGTTCCAAGACAGCTCCACACTCCTCCTCAGTCACAAGATATAAATATCATTAAAAATTTATGGCACACCCTTGACCAAAATGTAAGAAAACACCATATCACTAGTGGACATCACCTTAAACAACTTCTTGTTGTTGAGAATGGGAACAGATAAACGTAGATTTAATTAAAAACCTAGTGCATTCAATGCCCAGACGTCTACAAGCAATTATTGACGCAAATGGCCTATTTACAAAATATTAAAACTATTAAAATTTAAAATAAACTTGTAATTGTGGAAATGTGCAAATACTTTTTTCCAAGCACTTTTATTGTTTTAATTATTTTTTTTGATTATGAAGTATTTCTATTTTTTTGTGAAAAGGTTTTTTCAGTTTTTAATAAATTTACTTTTCATTTTTACAAAGGGAAGCGAAGTTTTTTGTTTCCTTGAACTAGTTTATTCATAAAAACGTGTTGTGCAAATACTTTTTTCCGTCACTGTATTTACAGCTTTCTGTAATTTATGGTAGACAGTGGAAATGTTGCTAGAGTGGCTTACGATGGACAGAGCATCTGCGACAAGTAGGGGCTTGATGCCCCCAGGCAAGTTGAGTCCTAAGTAATTTATTGCGATGCAGAACAATGTTGGACTCAGGGCACAGCCCTGCGGGACACCACTAATCTGCTTATGGCCCTTGGATGTTTCGCAGCATATTCTTACTCTAAAATGCCGATTTGAAAATAATTGTTTAATATAGTTCAACATGTTTCCTATTATTCTAACTGTTGATATCTTTTTTTAAGATTATTTCGAGCTATATGCTGTCAAAAGCTTTCTTCATATCGAAGAAAACAACGATAGCATGTTGTCCGTTGATAAAAGTATACTGCGTTTCAGCCTCTGATGAATCTAAATGGTCTATTGCGCAACGCCCCTTGCGGAACCCAGACTGATATAGCTGCATTAAATTATTGTTCTCTATCATCCACATCAATCTCTTATTTATCATCCGATCCATTATTTTACTTAAGCAGCTTGTGAGAAATATAGGACGATGGCTATCTGGGAGCCGCTTGTCTTTTGCATTCTTTAGAATCGGAATAACCAAGGAATTGAGCCAGGAAGTTGGGAAGTGACCAGTGGACCAAACATGATTGTAGTATTTAAGGAGCCATTTAAGTGTGTCAAGAGGTAGATTTTTAATCGTATCATAATGAATATTGCCAAGACCCGGTGTTGTACCTTTGACGGAATTTTGAATATATTTTAGTTCCCACATTGAAAAAGGAATAAAATAAGGTATTTTAATTTATTGTGACTGTAAATTCGGTTTCATCAGTCTAGGTATTAATTCTTTCGAAGCTATAGATTCTACCGAAAAACCTTCGGTGCATTGAGGATTTTCCTTCACCACACTGAGAACTGATAATTTTAGGGTTTGTTTATTTTAATGTGTGACGTGAAAGCGTAAGACATCTATAGAACCTAATCGGATTAGGAGTGTACTTTTGGACCTTAATGTTTTGATAACCTATTTTAAGAGTTTCTGGTGGTAATGGAAACAGGAAGTTGAAGTACCTGATAATTCTCTTACTATAATTTAGAGTGGCGTGTGCTTTTAAAGTTATATGAAATTGTTCAGCAAATTGCTTACAATCTAATAGTTTTTGTGACTGTTTAATATTACTAGTTTTTATTAATACATTCCGTACCTCAATTTCTGAGTAGTTCTTAGCTTCCCAGAGCAAATTAATAATGAATTTATCTATCAAAAAAGGGGATATCCTTTGAAACCTTTTATCTGGTTCCCTATTTACTATCAAATAAGTAGGTGAATTTTTTAAGGCTTCACTTACTTGAATAGGGTCTGGTAGTGTTTTTATCCGATCTCTTTTCTGACGTTAATTGGAGCTATAATTACGGAATGGACTTAATCCGTATTATTAACAAATAATAATAATAATAATATTAATTTAACCTATATTTTGATAACTGAGATTGTTAAATATACCAATTAGTAATCATGTATTGAAAATTCCTATAACTCAAAGGGCAAAAGAACAAAGCTATCCCTGATAGCTTAGTAATAGTTATCTAGAAGGCACCGACTGGACACCATAAGTTAACTGATGAAATAGCTCGTCCATTATAATAACATGGTATAATCAATCTCAAATAAATAAATAAAATAAAAATAAAGAGGAAAACAATAATCTATAATTAAAAAGTGAAGAGAAGGATGGTTGAAGTTATCAGTCAGAAATAAAATGGTAAAAATAAATAATAATATTTATTTTAACATTTGCTGACGTTTCGACCTTAAGTTCAGGCCTTCATCAGTGCTGTTCGGAGAGATTGCTTGAATAGAGTCGATCACCCCCCAACCATCGTTCTATTCATTATTCAAAACAGTCAACCATCGACCCACAATTATAATTAAAAAGAATAAGTAAATGGAACAAAAAGGAAAGAATTGAAAGTAATCTTATCTGAATAGTAGACAAGCTGGATAATTCCTACAGAACTGCATAAACAACTTCTCTCTGCGAAGTCTACTATCCAACTGACGAGTCTGAGATGGTAATTTTTCATATAGGCATATATTATATATTGCATATAGGCATATAGGATATATTTCAAACAATATCCCCACCTTCTCAGATCCCCCTCGTGTTTTTCAACGTTGAACAAAGTTCAACCTTGTTCCCTCCCTCTTGATCCTGTAGTTCGGCACTCCCCCAATAATTTTCAGAAGTCAGCGCCTATAAGCGAACCTAAGTGTTTTCATCAATTACAATAAAATTGCTTCGTCAATAATTTAGTTGAAACTAGCCGATTCTGATAGAAATTAATTATTTATTTTCCGTTTTTCTCTTGTCCCATCGATTAATCTGGACAGCGTGGTTCTACTGTATGTATTTTATAGAAAATTTAGTTATCATTAAGATATCATCAATACTATTTTTCTGTGACTTACAGGTCGGTATTACCGTTTTTTTTTTCTGAAAAAAGTAGATTATCAGTAACTGTGCGAGGCGAGGAGGAAGGGGCGAGTATGCAAGATGAAACAAAGATGACGATGAAATCTACTGACTGCTGGTTCTCAAGAGGCAAGATGCACTTGCATCAACGGTGTAAAAGCTCTCTTTCAATTACATTCAAGTTTAAGATACATGCATCTTGCATCTCCGATATGAAAGGCCCCTTAGAATGAATTTTTTAATATTTATTTCATAAGACATGGTTATATTTTTTCGTTTTTGGGGAGTGGCTTCAAAGTCTCCCTCCCCAAAGCAAACCTGCCTGTGTGTTAGATAAACGATTTTCAAATAGTTTTTATTATGTGAATATTATCCGATGGCATTTTTTTCAAGGGTCAATATTTTAATTAAATTTAAATTACTTATTCTTTATTTTTTTAAAAAGATTCATTTATGTGATGTTACAGCCTCATTCGTCAACCACCCCATCTAAAAATCAACATTCACAAAAGAAGAATAGCCGACCTAGTCGTCGATGGCTTGTCTCGGAACTGGAAAGAATAACTGAAAAAAATGCTGAAATTGGCAGACAATTGGAATTTCAAAAAGGTATTCTTATCATTCTTAAACATTTGTGCAATTGCTTACACATTTTACATCTTTACATGTTATAGACTTGACAAGATGCTTGCTAGAAAAAAAGAATCGTATAGAGAGAGAACTAGCAGCATTACGTTCTCGTAGAGTTGTCGGAGTTCATGAAAATGATGCTGTACGTGAAAGGAACAGGCAATTGTCACAAGATGTTTTTTTAATGAAAAACATTCTTGTTAAGTAAGTTTATTTTTATAATATTCCTCTTTGATTTTTTGCGATAGTAACATAAATTGTAGGGAGGGACGGAGGGGGGGAGGGAGTATCTGCTGATAGCATATAAAGAATCTATAAGGAGGATTTAATTCATGACTTTAAAGTAGACATTGAGAGATTATCAGGAAATGTTGCCAGGAAGGTATCGGAATGGACTGGGATATCGGCGGTAAAGGGGATGTAAATTTTTTTAATAATCTAGGATACTTAAGAGTTGTAACTAGTACTAGAAATGGCTATGTTCTTATTTCAGCCATGATTATTTTGTTAAGTTAATTTTTTTTTTATTCTATTTCAGACTTAATTTGGAGTTGGAAAGGTACCAAGACAAATTAAGGAACTATGAAAATTATCAATTGAAAAATGATAGTTGTGAAAACGTAAGTTATATAAATGTGTCTAATTAAATTAATATATTCATATATTTTTTCATATTATTAGGTGTTAATAGGCAAGCAGGCAATCTGTTGGGAAAAAAATTGAGTGGGTAAATGGAGAGGTGACAGTTATGGCACCACTTCTGATAGCATATGAAGAATCTATGAGAGAAAAGGAGGATTTAATTCATGACTTTAAAGTAGACATTGAGAGATTATCAGGAAAAATGAAAGAAATTGTAAAGGAAAACTCAGAACTAAGAGAAAAAATAGCTGAATCCGAAGTGCAGGTATTTAATTATATTATAATTCATTATTATTTATTATTTATTTTTTTTGTATTATAACAATCTGTCTCTTGGACATTGGTTATAGTGAGGTAGGATGACATTCACACTATATGTACAAAAAAATAAAATAAATAGAACAAAATAATAATCAAAAGTATATACAATAGATAATAAAATAAAATAACCTAAAAAATAAGAAAATTAAAACTAAGAAAAAAAAAACACATGCATACCTATATACAATCAGGCGAGGGAACTCCAGGAGAACCCTGCGCTACTCTCCCAACCGCGTCACTGGTACTAAAGCCAGCGGAGATTGGTCGAGAGCATAGTTAATTAATGATTTATTTATTGATATAACAAATAAGGCTCCTACATACAGAACGCGATATGTCCCAGCGATATGATACCCTTTGTCGGTATCCCTGCGGATTATCGTGCTCTGTATAACTGCTAAAATGCAATAGATAGTAATAAAACTATGTCACGATATCGCCACATATCGCCGCAGGAATATCATATAGCCTAGACATATCATACTATGTGTGTAGAAGCCTTAATGCTCCTGCACACTGAGTGCGATGCGGAGATATGACACTTGTGCACTGGCGACCGGAGGAGACGCATTGTGGGACGAATGACCAATCTAGGTGAAAAAAATTAATAGTGATTTTTTTAAAATCCAAAGTAACTGGATTGTTTAGTTAGAAGATAATCATAAATTGTTTCGATTTTAGCTGTGCCCAATGATAAATACAACCCTGTAAACAATTAATGATGTTTTGTTCAATTATTGTCTTCAATCTTTTATTTAAGCTCAATACCACTAGTTAATTTTTTTTTACAATAATTTTTATTTGATAGGTATGGATGTCTAGTATTTAAGTATGTCATTCATCAAACTATCAATTCATAATTTTACCTATTAACTTATTTGTTTTTACATGCTCTAAAATAACATACTTCAAAATTAATTTACTAAAATCTACCCCAAAATACCTCTGTGAAATTTTTTTCAGACATTACTAAGTAGGTATATTAAACAAAAATGACAGTTGTTTGCCTTGTGAGACTTCATTTTATTTATTTTTTCAAATCTATTAAAATAAGGGAGTTATTCGGCATTTGGAAAAATCATACTGATATATAGATTATAATTAATGTCATTTAGCAACGATTCGAATTGGACAACATCTCTCTTTTGCTGGATTGAGAAATTATCTCAAATTGGTAGTGGCAAAAATGAAATCGAAATTGCAATAATATGTTAAATTAGTCTTTATACATAATTTTTGGTTGTACAATACAATAAAATTTGAGTGGTTGTGGTGAAGAAACTTCGCGGAATACTTCTTCTTTGAATATTGGTTGCCCTGTTAAATGATTTGAAGACTAATGGTTGAGGTAAGGTCTATAAAGTTGAAGATGTAATTGATACGCGAGGCACAGAAAAAATTGCGTTCGCCATCATCACCCCAAAGGCAATTAAAATATTGGATCAAACCTGAGAAGTATTTCAAATAAAATACGTATTTCTTATTTAGCATTTTAATAAGAATAATATATAATACATGTTTTTGAACATGTATTTTTTTAAAAATTACAAAATACAAAAAAGTATTATTTTTCTTTGATTATACCACAAATTTATTTTTATACATATGTTCAGTTTTTGCACTCTTGTACTTTATTTTTAATTACATATTATTATATAAATATTTAATTTAATGTATGACCATACTGAGTGCCAGGATAGTAAAATTTTATTTCATTTTATTTAGTTTCATTTATAATTTAAATAAGCAGACCAAAATCCAATATGTAAAATAAACAAAAAAAAAAACGTTTTTAGTCCAATTTAAATTTCCTTCTTATTTATAAGATTTATGACTTTTTGTTTGTTTGTATTTGAATCGGCACTTTTAATTTCACTTAGTTAAAAAAAAATAATGTTTTTGCCTGAATGACTATAAGGTTTGAGAATATTTTTTACTGTCTATTTCTTTTCAATAAAAAGATCCTTTTTAGTTTTCAGAAAAAGAGAATATGAAAAGAATCAATCGAAGGATCGTTCATAAGAATCGATTCATCATAATGATTGAATCGTTTGAGAATCGATTCAAATAACAGAATTTCCCATCTCTAGTATCTACTAGAATTCACTCCTCTGTTCTTCAGCTCTCCAAACAATCTTCTCGTCCAGAATCCTAGCTCGAACAGTTTCCCAATATTGGTAAAATAATAAACTACTTTGCGCTGTATCACCAGACCAATTCTCTCCAACGGCTTCCTTTGATTCCAGCTCCATCCAAATAACTTTCCTTCTTCCTCCTTTTTCCTCTCAAAAAATATTTTCACTGAAACGTCGTCGGGATTTCCTTCCCGGCTTTTCTATTGGTCAAATTTCCTTTGGAGTATGCGTGAAACTGCCCCTCTACTTCTTCACAAAATTCTCAAATCGTATTTTTATTTATTTATTTTTTATTTATTTATTTTTTATTTTTTTACCTTTATCTATAAAGTTAAGCTTATCTTTACGACTCGCCAAGATGCTTGTTCAAATTTTATTAGTCTTACCCTCGGTCGAAGAGGTATCAGCATGTTTTCCCCAATTGCAACATTTATTTGTCAATATTGTGCTTAACCCTATATAATTATTATATATCAGATAAATTTTGTTTCCTCATATCATCTTCCCCTATACATAGGAAGATTCATGCATATATTACATAATAATTTCATTACAGGGAGAAGTTAACTATTCAGATTGGATGAATCTTCGGAGGGAATTGACAATATCAGTAGAGCAAAACCATTTGTTAAGTCGTCAGGCCAAGCTTGTTCAAACTAAGATAACAGATTTAAAAACCGCTTTTCAGGCAAAACGTGAGTGAGATTATTGAATTATTAATTAATTTTCCGTTTTCAATTTTTTATCAATTGGAAACAAAAAAACATATTTGTTTGTTTGTTTTTTAAAAATAATTTTTGCTTGCATTTACAAGTATTTCAAATATATAATAATGGAAATATTACTAAAGGTTAAAGTATTACGATCTTGAAAAAAAAAAAATGTATCCGAGTTTTCCAGGGGAACACATATTTTAAGACCAACAGAGTCAAATTATCGCAATCTTCCTAAATGGCCTATGTGTGTATGTGAACAGTAAAAAGCAAAACAAAAAAGATATACGACACGAAATGAGGATTTGAGGTTGGGATATGCCTAGGTGTTACAGTAATTTAGTCACAAAACAAACTCTTGCAGGAAGTACCAGTTTATATAATTGATTTTATACATTTCTACTATTTTCTCAACATGATTTCGGCTACAATCGTTATATTGGTAAAATAATATTGTGTTTAATATCAATTAGGTCTTATCCATATTCAAATAGTTTGACAGGGCTGAAATGTCGAATTTTCAAAATTTCTTCCTCTTAAGTACCTTTATGTTCGTTTATCAGGAATAATTATAAATTTCTCATCGTTAGTAGTAATACAAAATGAACCATGAGTGATTTTGATAATTAATTACAAGACAAGACGGAGACCTCATTGCCCAGCCGAGAGGCTGCCATCAGCCCCTGGTCCTCCATTAAATGATCTTTTAATGAGGTGTCGTTATTAAAAAAATATATTGATAAGCAAAAGGTAATACTTCCATTACCCAAAGGCATCACCTTCAATAAGTTTTTAGCAATTGGAAAAAGAGCTGCTTGATTGTGTACAAACTGCTGGCACAAAACTGTGTCTTAAAAACTGTGTTATTATTGAAGTCATGAATTATACTTCAAATACATCATCAAATTATTCGCTCTCAAAAATATGTCTTTAGAACTAAATTCTCAACCTTATTTCAGCTGCATACTGTGTCACCTGATTAACATTTGCACCAGATTATCTTATTCTTTTTTTTTTTTTTTTTGTCTACCCCTTTTTCTCCTTTAAGGCAATACGGCGATTTTTCTGAGCCAGGGGAGAGCTCGGGGTATTAACTATTATTTCATATCTTGTAAATTTCGGTTTATCAATCATCTGATTGCCGAGAAACGTATGTTTGTAGCCCGCTCTGCCACCCCGCTCCAGATGATCATTATGCAAAATTAATTATTGTCCGTACTTTGAACTATTCTTTGGACTTAATGAACCAAATATTTAATCAAGAACCTCATTCCTCCTCTCTCCCTGAGTCAATGGTGCCCCGCTTTACCAAAGTTAAAATCTGGTCACCTTATGTCTGACTCAATCTATGATAAAATATATAGTTTTTTCTGGTTTGAATAATATTTACAAATGTAGATAGGAAAGTGCACTAGCTGCTTCCCGATGTGTCTTTACAATTATCAACGACCCTACACAATCTATGTTTGTACTTCATTGATGCAAAAGCGATTAAATCGTCATTTGCATAGATTCCTTCGTCCGCGCGGCGGGTGTATTCGCATCGTCTTGGACAAGCTCAGGCGCCTTGATTTTTTCTTCCCTTGTGCAGATAACAGCGATAATCGTTTATTGGATTGTTCCTCCTAAACACTTCCATTTTTGCCAAAGCTTGTTGTATGCAACTCGGCAGCATCCATAATGATAGTTAAATTATTGTGCTAATGTTATCTATCAAAACCATTTAGTTTTATTGTTTATATTATTTCAGTGAATGAAGTTTGTGGTGAACGAGATGAAGCTGTTTCCAAGTTAAGTGCTATTCGTGCTGACTACCTAGTTCTGAAGGGAAGAAACTCTGCCCTTGAGGATGAACATGAAAGATTGAAAGAAGATTCTTCCGATAGAATACCAAAATCAGTACATTCGGCTTACATTGCTGAGTGCAAAAGGTGAGGAAGTTACAAGGAGAGGATACAGTCCGTGGGTCACCGAGAATATCAATCTTGTTTCTCCCTCCAAAAATATTTACTCCCACATTGCTACTTCGGTTGATCCAAATTGTGCCCATATTTGTACCTACCTGCCATATCAAATATTTATTAAAAACCTGTCTGGTATCAAGAACATATATTTTTTTAGGGAGAAACAAAGTTGATAATCCTTTTTCGCACCTAAAAAAATGGATTTAGGCCTGTGTGTGCTACACGAAATGATACAAAGCCGATATTCGTAAACAAATTAAATTTAAAGATCTCTAGCTTGAAAAAAAATTAAATTTGAAAGTTATTGCTGTCAGTTGGAAGAGCCGTAATTCAGCTTTTCAACGGTTATATCAAAATTGAATTTGATGAAAATCTTGAGGAGTTATGAGTGCATTAGTTGTCGGCTGGAAAAAAAAACTCACCCAAGAAAAACAAGTACTAAAGGTTGTATTTTTTAATTAATATAACAATCCATATTTAAGAGTTTTAAAGGGTCCTAAGGTAGGTTCTTGCGCCATCAACCTTGGGGGGGGGGGAAAGGGCACACCTGCTTTTATTTATTTTCTACTTCAATGTTTTATGTTTTTTTTTATAGCCGTTGAATGATTTGTGGACCCCTCTGTGAGCCCCGAAGATCGTTATTTTGTATTTATCCAGTACCGTTGTTCATTGGATCCTAAAATAATTGTTATGTAATTTGGGTTAATTTACTAAATATTTTAATCCCTGAAAGCCACACACACGCACACATATATAGATAGATAGATAGAAAAAAAAAAAACAACTTTATTCTGGGACTAAGTCCCTTCAGAATAACAATAATGTACAAAATAATAGAATATTAGAATATTATTTATATATGTATATATTGCCCTGATAATTAGGCCCCACTTCAGACTCCAGCGCCGAGTACCAGCCAGATTGGACCTGTGCTCAAAAGAGGTTTTGTGAGGAAATTTGTAATGTTGAAAATTTAAAGGACGATAGGATCACCTAAGGATGTAGAGAAACACTCCAAAATCGTATTTAATGAACACCAGCAAATACAGCTGGGGAGAGAAACCAAGAACCCCAGATTTATATTTTCCGGGCCCCCTTAAATATTAAATTTACCACCAAAAATCAATTTAAACCTTTTAGAAAGTATGTTACAAAAATATTATGTAAAGAAATTACATAATTATTATATAATATATGTAATATTATCTATACTTTATTTTAATGTGAATTCAGAAGTTAATAAATAAAACTTCATCAGAAATTATGACAATCAGAAAATAATTTAATGGTTAACACTGCTCTATGGTTAAAAATCCCTTAAAAAAGATGCAAGGCCTTTTGTATTTGTTTTGAATTATTTGCTTTTATACTGTTAGCACTTATACAAATTTTTATGCCTTAAACCATACCTAATTTCCTACAATCTTGATTCTGATATTTAGACCTACGATATACCACTAGCGGATCTAGGATTTAATTATGGAGGAAGCTTCAGTTGGAGAGCTTTTTTATTCATGTATATTACAATAATTACTTTTTTTAAAAAAGAAAGAAACTAACTACCTTTATGAAATGGTGTTTCAGTGATTCTTGAAGTCCTATTAAATGTAGTTACATGAACAATAATACTTTAAGAGATAATTTTTCAATATTTTTTTCATAAAACATAGTTATGTTTTACCATTTTTTTGGGAGGGGGAGGGGGCTTCAGCTAGTCTGTCCACCCCTCCCCATTGATTCACCTGCGCGATATACGATGGATCATTTTTAACTGAATGATTGATTGTTCTTTTGTTTTTTAAATAGCATTATAAAGCAAAAATATTTTTTAATTTGTGACATCTTGCCAATATTGATAATCTGAAATTAATTAATCACACTATCTGTAATCTATAATATAGTTGTGGAGTATGTATATCATTTGATTAAGTGTATGTGGAAAGATCTTTTTATTTAATTAATATTTTTAATTTACCATCTGGTAGATGCATGTAAAATGTTTGTCTGAATTTCTTAAAGATTGCTGGATGAACTGAAATCTCGTCATAATGATGAGAGAAATTCCTTGTTAAAGAGAATAGCAGATTTAGAAGAAATGGAACCACCTCATTCGAAGAATTCCATTCCTGCTATCATGATCCGACTCAAGTGAGTATTTATAAAATCTACTAATATAATTAATTTTCTATTTCATTTATAGAGGAGTGGTACTTTTAAAGTCAAAAAGAGATGGATAATGTAAAACTTCCAAATAGCATTTTCCCTGAGAAATGACAAGCATAATATATGACAGAATCGGTGCATGAATTGTAGGATCCCAGAGGATATGTGTAATGGAAAAATTTTAAAAAAGTACCTAGGGTGAGGTTTTAGTAGGTGCATCCTACAAATTATTTATTCTGTTGTAGCAGCTGTGGATCAACCTCCTCTCCTGGGCCACACTCAGACTCTATAAAGTTGGTAGTCTTAATTAACTAATTATGCAAAAAACCTGGAGATTGAGTGTGATATTGGTCAAATTATTTTTTAATATTTTTTATTGAGAAAAAAAAATACATTTTGCCTCAATTAAGGGCATTGAGTATTTTTAATGTATGAAACACAATCATACCATATATACAATAAAAGAAAAACAAGATTATAATAAAAGGAAAGAAAAGAAAACTTGGAATAAAAGAATAAATCAAACAGGAGACAACATTAAATGAAAAATAATTAAAAAAATTAAAAACATATTTATACTTATTTACAATATTTACAGTCAGCCAAGGGAGCTCCGAATCGAGCCCTCTCCCCACGTGTGGAGGATAATGCAAGACTCCAAGAGATCCCAGCGCTTCTCTCTCAGCCGCATCACAAGGATGGAAATCCAGTGGAGACTAAGAGAGAGCACTAAAGCCATATACGCTCATGACTTGTGTGGAGAAGCTGACCATTGCCAGGACTTCAGTGACCTATTTACAAAAGATCTCGAGGCCAATGCCGTTTCAACCTTTGAGCAGGATTGTAGGGATGACTGGAACTGGATAAGATTTGTACTAAGGGATTAGGATGATGGATTAGGTTCTGATGAAAATTTGAAAATCGGGATGGAATAACGTCAAGGACATAAGGGATGTTAAGGTCATGATGTAAGGTTTTGTTCGTAACATAATAAGGAGCATTGACTATTATACAGAGGACTTAAGACTGGAAGGATTGGATGCGTTTGATGTTCGAAAATTTAGTTGTCCCCCACAGTTCAATTCCGTAGGTCCAGATGGGTTTCAGTATGGTCTTGTATATTAATAGGTTGTTTTCAATTGAAAGGTTAAATTTTCTGTTAAGCAGTCTGTATAACTGGCCAAATCGTTGGTTAAGTTCTTGTCTTTTAAGTCTGGTATGTGGGTTGCATAGTCTTTTGTCTAAATGGAATCCAAGATACCGAACTGTGTCTGAGATGGGAAGAGGTACTGAGTTGAAAAGGATATTTGGACAAAATCTACATCGGAGTTTAAAAGTGATGCTTGATGCGGAGTGTGTTGATTTTGATGCACCAATTGTTCCACCACTGCTCAATTAGGGAGATGTGTCTTTGTAGGTTTAGGGATGCAATTTCAGGGTCTGGGTGGGATGATAGGATTGTCAGCAAATGTTGCTAAAAGGGTATTACGATGGGTTGGGATGTCAGCTGTGAAAAGAATGTAGAGAACTGGGCCCAAGACACTGCCTTGTGGAACAGCAGCCTCAACTAGATAATAATTGGAGAATTCAGTGCCGCAGCGGACTTGAAAGGAACGATTTGAAAGGTAAGATTTGAGAACTAGGTTCAAGGATTGGTCAATTTTTTATGAAGTTTAACAAAAGTTTATATGAAGTACTAAATCCTTGATCCTTATGGGTTGTATTGATACATTTTTTTTTTTTTTAATGTTATTCAAAGTGTTCCGTCAACTATCAGATTTTTTACTTTAGTTTTTTATGTATTTCAGGGAGACTGAAATGAAATTGGCTGAATCAGAAGAGAGAAGGTTACGGTTTCAGCGAAAACATGAAGCTATGAAGAAAAGAATGGATGGGCTTGTAGAGTTTTCTAAGGAGTTAATTTTAGAGCATGAGAGTTTGTTGAAAGGAGTCCATGGAGAACTGCGTCTTAATGAAAATTTATCATCTAGAATAGATAAAATCAAACAACAGTTAAAGGTAATGCAATACATTCATGAGAGTTATTACACTGTTGAAGATATTAAAAAAAAAAATGTTTTTTTTCTCCCTTGAATACTTTAAATATTTCTTATGTATTTTGGTGTGATAAATCAAACTGGGACTAATAGCAAAATTTCAATGGGCTACAATGATAAAGGCAGTAAAAAAATTGTGTTATTAACAAAATAACTTAGTAAAAACACAATTTCTAACAAATATATTAACAATCGGAAACGTCTCATAAATTTTATTAATGATAAATGTAATCACTGCATCCACATTTAAATTTATTTCTCTGAATATTAATGTGTGAACTTCATTTTATCACAATCTAACATACATTTCCTTTTTGTCTCAATTACACCTGGGAACTTCTGTTTTTAATACAAGAAAATACCATTCCTGGAGATTCTTTAATTCCAAATCTGAATAAAAAGTGTAAAATTTGTCCAAATTTCTAAGTGTTGGGGAACGGGGAATGAGATATTATGTTTCACTGATCAAAATTACTGATGGAATATGAATATGTTTAATGAATGACAATGAAATTAAAGGTAATTCTAAGATTTTCTTATAAATCCAGCTTTTCAAAAATTTGTATATGTAATTTGTTAGTTGTTTATAAAGTTTGAAATCTGGTAATAACCAATAAACAGATGGTCACAATAACTAATTTTGCAATTTATCTAATTGGTGACTTACTATATGAATGGATATTCATTATCATTATTTTTTTCTTCTCTTATTACTTCTACCTAGCATTAATCTAATTTTATACAGTTAATTTATTTTTTATACACTGACAGGCAAAAAATTCCACCCACTTCATTTTTCCATGTTTTCATCTAAAAATATTTCTGTAAAGTTGTATTTGTATATAATACATGGTATTTGTAGATAATACTTAGTATTTATGGAATTTTATAATCTTTTTTACTTTAATAATCAAAATGTAATTTTTGGTAAGAAAGATTAGAGAAAAAAAAATTAAAAACGAACCATTATTATTCTAAAAGAAATAAATTACATCATCGTTTAGTAGCGCGTGTTTCCTCCTCTTGCCTTCACTACTTCTTGAAGACGCCTTGGCATACTTTCCACCAGTCGGGAAATGTCCCTTTGCTGGAGGATAGCCCATTCCTCCCAAAGAGCCCTTTCAAGGTCCTGCAGTGTATCAGGAAGTGTTGCACGTGCTCTTATTCGTCTTCCGAGGTTATCCCATAAATGCTCAATGGGGTTCAAATCTGGAGAACGTGCTGGCCAGGCTAAAACCTCAATATTGTTCTGTTGAAGGAACGTCTGCACTATGCGGGCGACATGTGGGCGTTCATTAGAATAGAACGATCGCCGATTTCGTTGACGATAGGCAACACATGAGGTTCCAAAATCTCATCTACATAGCGAATGGCCGTCAAAGACCCTCCATGAACAACAACCAATTCTGTGCGGCGCTCCATAGAAATCCCAGCCCACACCATTAAGGAACCACGTTGGAAAGGTTGGCTCTGGGAAAAATTACAGGCTGCATATCTTTCGTTTCTTCTTCTCCACACCCTTTCACGCCCATCTGGAGATCGAAGAGCAAATCTTGACTCATCTGTAAAAAGTACAGCACTCCATTCGTCCATAGTCCAATGGCTGTGCTCTCGAGCAAAAACCAGCCATGTTACTCTGTGAGTTCTGGTCAACTCTGGTCCTCTTACTGGACGAAAAGCCATTAATCCATACTCATTTAATCTTCTCTGAGCGGTACGTTCAGAAATTTGCACACCTCAAACTTCTTCGAGCTAATGAATCGCTTGAACAACGGTAAGGTGGCGGTTTCGTAAAATTCTCAAAGTCAAAAACCGGTCATCCCGTGGTTCAGTTACCCTAGGTCGTCCAGAACCGGGCCTTCTATTGTAAGATCCAGTTTCCCGAAAAGGCCTGATGGCGTCTCGTAAAGTTTCATATGGAACTCCGATGGCATTAGCTGCATATCTAATGGAACGTCCATCATCAATAAGTGCCACACCACGCGCAACATCCTCAGCACTAAGAGGCATTTTTAAACTTAATATTGAAAAATTTAAAAACTGGAGACTAAGAAATGTGCTGCAAGAAACGGCACTGAACTAATGATATTGAATAAACATTTTGATTCCATAGAAAGTAAACATTGGAATCTAGAATCATTTCATTGAATTAAGGATTAAGGGTTATTGTCCTCTATATTAACATTATTAATTGAAAACAAACAAAAAGATTACCTATTTATTCATTAAAAACAATAAACCAATCCAAAGCAGAAATATTTTTAGATGAAAACATGAACAAATCAAGTGGGTGGAATTTTTTGCCTGTCAGTGTATTTTGTAGTATGTTATTTTTTAGATGCTATTTAGATCTTTAAAAATATGTGAACCTAAAATTTGAACATTTTGTTATATTTAAAAAATTTACTATATCATAAATAACAAAGAATTAATTGAAAAAGAAAAATATGCAATTAAGAGATGAAACTAAACAAAAACAAACAAATAAAGTACTATGACATAGTGGTAATAATAATAATTAGGTTTAGAGGTATATAGTTTTTTTTTTTTTTTTAATGAAATTTACAACTGTATTACATAGAAAATACAATAAGTAAATGTGACATTGGTAACATGACATGTACAACATGAAGAGAAACTACCCATTGGTAGAATTCAAATTAAAGTTCTTTATTAGAAGGTCCTGAGGCCATCTTCTTTTCAGACACCTAGGAGGGTAGTGATACATAGTTAAAAATGAAAAATATATTTATATTATAATAGATAGAAAATAAACTTTTTTATGGGGCAAGGACCCTTTATGAATAATAATTATGAACAAAAAATAAAAACTATATCTAGCCAAAATCTACCATTAATAAAAATTCAAACAATATATACAATATCTTCAGTAACAAAATATAAACAACAAAAGTAAAAGAATTTTAAGAATAAACATAATTGTAATGAAAAAAAAAAGAAAAAAGCTTGAAGGAAACGAGGATTTTAACACCACAGGCTCAGATGGCATTCCCGTCAAATTAATAAAATTATGCCTCTCCGAAATTCTCCCAGTCCTTCTTTTCATCTACAATGTTTCCCTTCAGAATTCTATGTTTCCTGCATCTTGGAAAAAAGTCATTGTCCATCATTTAAATAAAATCTCAGAACCTATGGAAAGACTAGTACAATCACAAGTCTCCAAATTTCTTAAGAAGAGTCAAAACTACTTGATCCTCTACAATTTGATTTCTGTTACAGCTCCATGCTATCAGCCCTAATTCAAATTATCAGTGATGTTTAGGCTGCTATAGATGAAATAATATTAACTACAAAGACTCCTGGGTTTCTCCGAAGCATTTGATTCCTTTGACCATTCAATCCTCTTTCCCAAATTAAAATCATTATTCTCTATTTTCGGCAGAGAACATTTCCAGATATACAACAACTTGCTTATATGTTGATTTTCATATTAAGTTGACGTTTTGGGAAAATTATTCCCATCTTCAAAACTTAAAATCCCACATTTTCATAGCGAATTATCTCTAGAAAAGAGGTAATTAAAAAAGAATGCATGTTAAAGTTGTGTTGTTACATAAATTGCTATAATTACCTAAAGTCTGATGTGCTCCTTTGTCATGATTGAAAGGACCACATCAGACTTTAGGTAATTATATCAATTTATGTAAAAAACACAACTTTAACATATATTGTAACATGCATTCTTTTTTAATTACCTCTTTTCTAGCCATAATTCGCTATGAAAATATGGGATTTTAAGTTTTGAAGATGGGAATAATTTTCTTGAAATGTCAACTTGACATGTAAATCAACAAATGAATCAATAGTTGTATATCTCGAATCTTTGGCTGTGGCTGGTGTACGGTGGTCTCTCGGATCTTGGTGACAAACTGAAGAAATTTATGAATAGCTTCATCAGATTTATCAATGTGACCCTGCTACATTCTCGTATCTCCTACCACTACATTGAGTTAGGGTGTTTCTTCCCCTCCTTCTGAAGACAATAATTCCTAGGCAAATTCCTTTATCAGATGATCAACAGCCACCAACCTTCGTATATCTACAAACTTCTTCAATTTAAGTCCCCTGTTCATTCCTTTACCACAAAATCTCAACCTTCTGAGCTTTACACTCCTTTTCACAGATCTGTATCTTTTTAAAACTCCAAATTTATAATTTATTTTTTTGTCTAGGGTGTTGAATTGGAGACACTGGAACAAATTAAAGTGCTTGATAAAAATATCTGTTCACAAGTAGAGAGGGTGAATCGAGTTCAGACTGAAAAGAATATGGAGTTTTTAAAGCTTAAAGAAGAGTTGCAATCAAAAGATTCAAAAATTAAAGAACTGAAGAATGCAGCTAAGTAATTTATTTGTAAAATTGGTTGAAGTAATTCATCAATTAATGTAGTTAAAGCAACCCATGTTTTAGGAACAGAGAGAAGGAAATGAAGTTAGTTTGGGAAGCTGCTATTCATGATAAGAAGAACTAAACTTATTTGTGTGACAACTAGAAAGGTCAAGTTGATTAAACCACCTTTCTTGTATTTATTAAAACCAAAACATCCAAGTTAAATTTATTAATTTTTTTAATGTTTTGAATAAGTCATGTGTTTTTGTTATTTGTTTTTTATAATAAATAGCATATAATTAATGTTTTTCTCTTTCTCTGTCCTTCCTGTACGGAGCAGAGTTGCTCAGTGAGTAAACACTGTCTTACTATGCCCCGAATCTTTTTTCTTCTGGACAGCCCAATGAATTAATTGGAAGTACACTTAACAAAATATAGCATGATCAAGGTTTCACTGCATAGCAACCCTTACACTATCATTCGTGAATGAAAGTCATAAGAATGACAAAGATTGCTCAGGATTGCTTTGATCATGAAGATCATTACACGTTCAATCATTACTGACCATTTTAGCTCAGCTGACATTGAGATAACAGGCAGCATAGATCTGGTGGATCGTCCACTTATAATAATGCATTAATTTAAAAAGCTTATTTGGACATTGTCCTTTATGGTATTGGACATCAAGAGAAAAATGGAGATATAATAATTACTCCCTAGTGCCTGAAAATCGTTTAGACCAAAGTTAGAAAAATTTAAGTCAACTCCTTACAAAATGGTTAACCGTTGATATAATATGAAAAGGAGTTAATCGGGGAGGGGGGGGGGGTGCGGTCAAATAATATTAAATTAAAATATAGTAATTATTTTAATTTAATATTTATTTGACCGCACCCCCCCCCCCCCACCCCCGATTAACTCCTTCTCATACTTACAAAATGTATTGCGAAATCAATACTTAAGTAATAAATTTGTTAAGAAAAATGGAAAAATTAATGACAAATAAACACAATAGTTAAAGATTTTTTTTCAATAAGTAAATTGTGAAGTTTCCACTTTTTTTTTTAATTTATTGCCCACTTGACTATTTAAAAAAAAATAGTTGAAAATGGATTATAAAAATATAAACTAGGGATATAAAAATCTATTTAATTTTATGAAATTATTTACTTAAAAATCAGGAATGTACAATGGTTGTGAGACCTAGGTAAACCAACATATCTATTGAAGGTTAGTCTCATATGAAATCAGTTTGACAAAAGTTAGTAAAATATAAGTCTACTACTTACAAAAATAAAGGAAAGGTATTGCGAAAATAATAAATTTGTTGAGAAAAATGGGAAAAGAACTGACAAATATACACAACAGTTAAAGATTAATTTTTTTCTTTGAGTAAATAGTGAAGTTTCCACTTTTTTTTTTTTTTAATTTGTTGTCCACTTGACTATTTAAAAAAAGTATTTGAAGATGGTTTATGAAATATAAACAAGGGATATGAAAAACTATTTAACTATTTACTTTTAATGAAAATCAGGAATTTATAATGGCTGTGAGGCCTAAGTAAACTAACCTATCTAGTATTATGGTTAGTCTTGCCACTACTTTTACTTACCTCAGTCGCCCCTCCACTTCTCATGAATGAATCTTTGATTTCCAGATGTTCGGAAATCCGCCAGACATATCCATCAATACTTCATTCACTACCTTACACGATCATGCGGATCATCATTAGTGCCTCGGAATGCAATTCCGAATGACCGTTTAAGGTCCCCTTATAAATAATATTTCTTACCTTAAAAATTATATTTTTATATTAAATCATAATAAAACTTGTTAGGCTAATCTGAGACCAAACACAGGAACAGTGCTGGTCTTAGGGCGGCACAACCGGGGCAATCGCCCTGGGATGCCAACCTGGACAGACCACCGTTGGGGGTGCTGGCCGATCTTTGGGGGCGCTTATAAATTAAAAAAAAAAAATACAAAATGTCTTAAAACAATAAATTTTCGCTTACCAATAAAGCAACTGTATTATAGAAATATTGAATGAAAAATTCAAATATTACAAGTATGAAAATGCTTTAGAAATAAATTTCATTTTTTAGGGGGGGGGAGAGGTGATGGCATTGCCCAGGGATGACGAATGTCTAAGACTGGCACTGCATAGGAATAATACCATACCTGGTGGACTCAACTCAAAAGCAATTTTAAAAAATTAAGTTTATTCTTCTCAACATTTTTATTGATTATACAATAATGATCACCGAAAAATAGACAAATTACAATTCCATATGTAATTACTTAAAGATATAACATAGAACTAATTCTATAATCTTTTTTCAGAGTCAAATCCCTTAAAATTATGAGATAATATCTAAAAATATAATGTATTTATATTGATTGTTTTTAAATAACATTAAATATTAACCCAAAGTAATTATTCTATGATTAAAAAAATCACAAAGTTTTTTATTATTAAATTCTAATTATCACAAATGTATTAATTATGAAGCACTAATTTGAAGCTTTTAGGCCAAGCATATAAATTTGAGGGCATTAATACAGGCTGCACATTGAACCTAGCACTGGTACAACAAAGTTCACTGTTGGGCAGTTCTGTGGGTCACATGGTACCTCATATCAGATGCAGCAGCACAGGCAGAGCCCATGCAATCTTACCCCAAGTGTTTGTCAGTTTACATTAAAGACACAGTTTTCGTGGGTGTGTGGGCCACAGTTATTGATAAAGAAATTTGTTTAGACTAAGAACACTCTGCTCTGCATTATAGAAGCCACCCTAATTATGAAGAGCTAAATTAAATTATGAATAGTGAAATCAAATATGAGGAGAATTAAATTCAAAAGGTAAGTTTTATTATTTTAATAAATTCTCAGTACACGTATTAATAAATACGTTAGGTACTAGGCATTTTTTATTTTATATAACCTCATTTGATTGTATGTTTTTCTTGGTATATTAAATAACCCAACTCTTCAAAATGACTTATATATATTTTTTAAATAAATTAATTATGGAGAAAATTACAAACCAGCAATAAAAGTGTATACAAAAAAAACAAACACTAAAAAAAATGCTGTTTACTATTTCATACAGTTAATTTCCTGAAAAAGACTTCATATGTTTTGGTTTACTATCTCATCACAATTAGAAATGATGCAGTAGTAATTAATATATGAATTATCAATGGAGAAATTAGTGGACTTCTTTTGTTGTTACATGTTTGTGTTAATACTTATGTAAATCTAACTTTCTTATTTTTAAATTATCGAGTGATAATTTGTCTAAATTTGATATAAAGTTGTTTTTAAATTTAAGTCTTTTTCTTGGACAAGGTACAGCTATAATATTGTGTAGAAGCACGTTAGGCTTGGGCTGTGCTAGCACTAGGTTCAATATATTGTACCTTGGGGCAGCCTGAAGTATATTTTCATTATAAATGTGAAATCTTGGCAATGTGTGAAATATGTGGCAGGCCTACAACCTTTCATTAAATGAAGCAGTGAGCTTGAAAAATATCATTTGCAGTAATGAAAACATGTATCTCTAAAAGTCTTCCTAAATTCTTTATTATTATTGTTTGCTGCTTTTTATCTAATATAGTTTGTGTTAAGCATCCAAAGCAATTTCTTTTTAGATTTTTTAAAATGAAAAGTGTTGCAATTACAGTAATTTTTTTTTCTAAGACAGAAATTAGATATATTGTTTCATGGCTATACCACTTCTCCTTAGTTATTTTAAAGAGTTTCATTAAGAATCCATTTTTGATCATTATAAGTCATCTTTATCAAATATATTGCTTTTTTATATTTTACTGATTCTCACTTTTCCTTAGAAAACTTGCATACTTCACCAGAGGAAGCTTGAATGATATTGATTTTCCTCATTATTATTTTTTATCATTTCGAAAACTGTCATTTAATTTTGATTTATTTTTTTCAATTTGTCTGAGACCTACAAACAGGTATAGACCCTGACCACTTTCCTGTCTTCAGACAGCGTATCTTTGCTGGACCAGACATTATGAGCCCTTCATCACATCTGAAATTGAAACAGATTAATTATCACTATTTTAATACATAGATGAAACTTTAAAAAAAATATATTTTTATATAATTAAATTCATCAACTATGCATACAATAGAAAAAAAAAACTATGATTCTTTTGGCCTGATATTATATGTTTAACTTTTTAATCTTTTCATGCAGCGTTTAGCTATTAAATTTAATAAAATTTCATTTTTTCTGGTACAATAGGTGAACTAAAGATAAAGGATTCAAGAATTAAGAATGGTTAGTGTCTAAATAAACATTGCTTACTTATAAATATTTCTTTTAAATTTCAATTCTATTATTTATATTAAAAAAAAAAAAATAATAATATTATTGGAACATTGTACTTTTAAGAATTCATTTTCAGCAACTCAGATTAATCTATTAATTGACATGGTTGTGAGAATTTTACAAGCTACCATAAATATATTTCCGGTAAATTTAACCTGTTTTCTATACATTTATAAATTTTGAGCTAATAAGTTATTTCTATCAGTTATAAATATTTTTTCCATTTAAATCATGTAGATTTATCTTTACCTAAATTCAATGACCTCATCAATGCTGTAGTAGAACTTAACCAATGACATTCTTCCACTAATGACAGTCCCTGGGTATGAACAAGCTTTCACACCTGAAAATATTTTTAGTTAATATATTATTAAAATGTAAGAAACCAGCTAAGATAGGTAATATTTATTATCTTATTAAGTAAAACAAAAGAAAACCAACAGCTTATTTTCTTAAAGCTTATTAAATGTCTAAAAATATATAGTGATCTTATATTAGTAAGAAAAGTGGTGAGTGTAACCAGTGCACAAATTATTATTTATATTTGTATCTTGTAAATTTTGGTTTATTATAAATTTTATATTATAAGTATATTAATCAGATTCATAAAGGAATTTCATAGATTAATTATATAATCTGAAATAATCATACTGATTAATATACAGAATACCATCAAGCCTATTAATTGTGATTCTTGAAGATCTTTAAACATCAATGGTTGTGCCAAAGAATGGTTTTCATTTAAATTTTCCTGTGTTACGGCGAGTGGTGGGGGCAGATCTAAAAGATAAACGATAACACTTAAGCCTTAAGAGTGACAGGTTGTCTTGACCCATTAGATCGGCAGTCACTGACCAAGCACCATCTCCAGCACAAGAAGTCAGGTACGGAGAGCCCTCCAGGTAAAAAAGATGTAGGCTGGCATACAGACGGTAAGGTATTTTTTTGTACAATCGTTAACCTACCAATCCATTGAAATACAGTCTACTGCTTTAAAATTTAGAATGTTGCCTTATTGAAACTCATGAGAGTTATTTTGCCATAATTGGAAAAGTTGCCAAAGCAATCACAATCCAAGTCCTTCATTTTGAATAATGAACATAAAAAAATTGTTAACTCAATGTCTTCTCAATTTTCACCAAAAATTAACAAGTCATCAATATAAATTAGAACAAACAAATTTTGTTTTAGAATTTAGAGAAGAGAGCAGTCTTTTTCAGACTAGATAAAACCCCTTTTTATCATATCAGTGAAATGGTCATACAAATATTAGTTATGTTTTTCTCAGCCAATATAGTTATTTTTTAATTTCAATGTATAAACCTGTTATATATCCATGCCAAAAGATGCTAGTATATACATAGTTTCCTTAATTTCACCATGTAAAAATCTGCTAATGAAAACTTTATTTTATCTTTCATAAAATTTTAGAAATATTATCTGCATTTAGAAATATTATCTTTTCTCCTGAAAGCTTGGACCAGAATCCCTGCTGTAGATAACTAAAGTAATATTTAAGACAGCTAAGAACTCTAGCATTGAAATATGTGAAGTTACATTATTTTTTAAATAAAACCACATATCTCAATATTAGAATTCATAGGTATCAAAATCATATTATATATAAATATCTTTAAGTAATGTACTCTGGAATAAACCAAAAGAAGGAAAAAAATTAAATTAAAGGAGAAGGATTTTTATTTTTAAAATCAACCAATCAATTGATTTTACACCATCTGCTGGAATCAACAAAAATATTTATTTTTAAATCACATTTTTACACGTCTAAATGAACTTTCCTCTGACCATAGTCCTCTAATCCTTAATGTTTCACTTGAACCTGTTCCCAAACCTTCTCCACCGTCATTCATTAGGGGCCCAGTAAACAGGGACCTTTTCCGCCAAATAATCTCCGATAATATTGATCTCAACATATCCCTCAAAACTCCCGATGACCTTGATAGTGCCGTAAATTCCTTTACTACCACAATCCAACAAGCCGCCTGGACTGCCTCCTTCCCAAAAGACTCCTCCAGAATTCCTATAAAGACCATTCTACCCCAACACCTCCTTAACCTAATCCGCACCAAACGCCGTGCCAGATTATTATGGCAACGTACCCGACATCCTACCGACCGCTGCTCCTATAATTACTACTGCAAACAATTAAAACTGGAATTAGCCACCTTCAGATCACAATCCTTCAACTCCTACCTATCCTCCCTCTCTTCTTGCGACAATTCCCTTTGGAAAACCACAACAAAAATCCTAAATCCTCACCGCATTTCCCATCCTCTCCGACGAGGTGATGGCTCCTGGGCAGCATCTGACGAAGATAAAGCTGAGGAGTTCGCCATTCACCTATCCAATACATTTATTTCACATCCGGAATCCCATCCTGCCCACACCGTAACAGTAGAAGAACTCCTTACATCACCAATCCCACTTTCCTTACCCCCAAAAGCTATTCATCCTTCCGAAGTAAAATTTCAATTAAAAAAACTAATCCCCCGTAAAGCTCCTGGACATGATCTCCTTACACCTCAAATCCTTCGACAACTTCCATCCAAAGCAGTCATATTCCTTACATATATCTACAATTGTATCCTACGCACCACCCACTTCCCTCTGTTATGGAAACACTCCACTATTATCCTTTTCCCAAAACCAGGAAAACCTCTCAATAGCTCAACATCCTATAGACCAATCAGCCTACTCCCAATCCTTTCAAAAATTTTTGAAAAGATCCTTTTGAAACGAATCCTACCCATTATAGAATCCCAAAATATCCCTTCCCATCAGTTTGGTTTTCGCTCTCAACATTCTACTGTTCAACAAGGACTCCGAGTTGTTGATCATATTTCCTCAGCCCTAAAAACAAGGAATACTGTTCGGGTGCCTTTCTGGACATTGCACAGGCATTTGACCGGGTATGGCACTCCGGACTGCTCTCCAAGCTTAAAATCCATTTACCTCAGTCCTTGTACCTAGTCCTCCGATCCTACCTCTCTGACCGCTCCTTTCGAGTTCGCTGTGGAACAGAATTTTCCAATATCTACTCCGTTAAAGCCGGTGTTCCCCAAGGCAGCGTCTTGGGTCCCGTGCTTTACATCCTCTTTACTGCTGACATCCCTGTTCATCCCGATACTTTTCTTGCAACATTCGCTGACGACACCGCAATCTTATCATCCAACTCTGATCCCGAAATAGCATCCTTAAATCTCCAAAGTCACCTCACCTTGATTGAGCACTGGTGTAATAACTGGCGCATTAAAGTTAATGAATCTAAATGCCAACATATTACCTTTACACTCCGACGCAATTCCTGTCCACCAGTACTCTTTAATTCCATCCAGCTTCCTTATTCAGACACAGTCCGGTATCTTGGCTTTCATTTAGACCGAAGACTAACTTGGAACCCGCATACTAGACTCAAAAGACAAGAACTCAACCGACGATACGGCCAACTATACCGACTACTAAGTAGAAAATCTAAACTTGCCATTGAAAACAAGCTACTGATCTACAAGACAATACTGAAACCTATTTGGACTTACGGACTAGAACTGTGGGGATCAGCAAAATTTTCTAACATCAAGCGCATCCAATCCTTCCAATCTAAAGTCCTTCGAACAATAGTCGATGCTCCTTTTTATGTATCCAACAAAACCCTACATCATGACCTTAACATCCCATTTGTCCTAGACCTTATCCCAGAAAAATTCTCCAAATTTCACCAGAACCTTACTTACCACCCAAATCCTCTTGCACAATCCCTATCAAGCATCTCCCATCCCTATAATCCTCCAAGAAGGTTGAAACGGCAGTGGCCTCGCGACCTTTTGTAGATTGTATAAATTGGAGTTCTGGCAATGGCCAGATTCTTCACTCAAGACATGTGTGTATGTGGCTAAAGTGCTCTCAACCAATCTCCGCTGGCTTTAGTACCAGTGACGCGGTTGGGAGAGTAGCGCAGGGTTCTCCTGGAGTTTCCTCGCCTGATTGTATATAGGTATGCATGTGTTTTTTTTTTTTTTTCTTAGTTTTAATTTTCTTATTTTTTTAGGTTATTTTATTTTATTGTCTATTGTATATACTTTTGATTATTATCTATTTATTTTATTTTTTTGTACATATGGTGTGAATGTCATCCTACCTCACTATAACCAATGTCCAACAGACAGATTGTTATAATACTCAATAAAGAAATTTAAAAAAAAAAATCACATTTTAATTTAAATTACACATTATTTTGTGAGGTAGTTACACTTTGATGAGCATTTATTTACATCATTATCTTCCCTTTTCTTTTTATTGGAAACCATTAGGTTGGTGCTATATATGATTGTGCTGATATACACACTTGCAAAGTTAATGTATTGTAGTTAGAGGAACAATAAAATTTAATGCAAAAGTTTGCAAAGTAACTGATCCTCAACTCTTATGTAGGAGATAACAAAACCTGGACAAAAAGTAGTAGGTAAGAACTTGAATTGTTATATGTGCCTAACTTTTTTGAGCTCTCAACCTCAAGATATCTTACAGATTAGACTAGCTTCTCGATACAGGGTATATCATTGGTAAGCTGGTAAAACAATGCAACTTTTTTGGAATCCACAAGGTCATATGTTCGAAAATTCATTGCACGAGTTCCTATACAATACTTATGAAAATTATTTATTTTTACTTGTTTACTTTGCTTTGAATATCTCAGAGCCCATAATAACCATCATAAGATAAATTTACCACAATAATGTCTGCTGCGTTAAACTAGGGTTAAGTCTCTCTGAAAAATTCCAGACCTCAAAAGGACTTTTGCAGGGATACTGCCTTTCGCCTACCCTTTCTAAAATTTATGTTGCTGCTGCTCTCAGAGATTGGAAAAGAAAATGTGGAAAAATGGGAATAAGGATTGGGGCAAATGTATGCATCATGAACCTAATATTTGCTGATGACCAAGTAATCATAGCCCAGGATAGAGAGGACATCAATTATATGTTCAGAAAGGTTGTCGAGAGTTCTTAAAAGTGAATGACTTCATGAAAACAGAGCACCTTGCCACTTCATCTGATGACACGCCAATTGAAAGAGCTATACAAACTGTAGCGAAATTTAAATACCTAGGATCAATATTTAATAGAGAAGGCACATCTACCAATGATATCGACAGAAGAATTGGTAAAAGAAGAAAGGTCACAGCAATACTCAACAGTATCCTATGGGGCTCGAATATACAGAACAGTACAAAGAGGCTAATATACAAGCTATATTTGAGCCAATTACGACATATGCCTCGGAGAATTGGGTCATCAATGCAAGACACCCATACAGACTTTTGGCAGT